CCTATTTTGATCAACTTCATCACTATAAATTTCTAGAATTCCTCTGATTGTTTGAATTAGTCCATCAAAGCAGGGGGGTCTAGAGACATTCCCTTTATAGTCAACTTTATGAAGTTTGCTCAAGTATGGAATTGCATCTTCCAGAGTTTTCTTCACAAGTGGATGTTTTTCATGGAGGGAGCAATTGTATGGATTATCACTCCTGAATCTCTTACTGTTGAGACAGTCAAATATCTTGTCCATCATATCTGTAAAAAATATATTAAATTGTCATCAAAGTATTCTTTTTTCAAGTTTTTTGTCCCACTATTGCTATCTCGGAAACGGACAGACCTACAAGGTCGGTTGATTCGGACAAGTCTCCTATTTTAGGGAGTATTGACAATCTCTTTTCAGATCTTGAATATCAATGGTTGTTTTTGAAATATTCGCCAAAAAATAAAATAGTTTTTTGAGATGTTTTTTCTTAGAAAAACGCCGAGAAACACATGTATTGTAATACAACATAGCTGAATTTGTTATGAAAGTGGCTACAACAAACGGAAAAAAATCGATGTCCGTATTTAAAAAAATAAAGTTGACAATGGTATCTAATGAAGGAAACGTTGCATTGAAAATTGGTGTATATCAGATTATAACAAATATGAAACAGTATTGAAAGTTCTCCTGACGTTTGTCCAATTTAACCGACCTTGGAAGGTCTCTCCGTTTCCCAGATAGCAATAGTGGGATCAGCTGAAAAACGGCCTGTATAGATACATAATATCCATAGGCATTTATATGATGGTGTGAGAATTATATTGAGAAGCAGTCATTACAGTTTCATTTATATCATGTTTAATATGCTGCAGGGCTGAAAATTTCAAATTGATTATTCTATTTATCAATAGTTTCATATTTAAAATAACCTAAGATCTCCAATCAACATATTTTAATGAATACTTCGTTTTCAATAATCAAATACATCAGGATACAAGATCAAATGCTGATTATCATATAAGAACTCACAATGGTGGCCATGTAAAAATGCATTATTTAATGGACTATGAGAATTTAATGAATACCATTAAATATGCAAATACTGTGAAGATGAGCCTATACATATAGTCTAGAAACATGTATGATGAATAAGTTTTTCGGAGAGTTTTTATAATTCATCTTATTTCATTTTGTGTACATAATCTGAATTAAAGAAGATTCGATTCATGATTAGTATTATTATTATTATTAATTACTGACTTGAAAAAAAAATTTTTTTTTTTCAATTCATTCGGATTTCTGAATATTCCTATGTACCTATTTGTATAAATTTTCTATCCTAACTTACCTGGAAAAACAGCTGTTGATTCTGCAGATGTTGTTTGCAGTTCTTTTGTTTCAATGCAAGTTCTGATTGCACTGGCAACACTATGGCTGAGAACTTGCACAGCTAATTTCACATTCATTCTCTGAAAGTTTGTGGGGTTCATGTGTTTATCAGTCAACTTTACCAAAGCTCTGCATTTTTTGTTTTCATCCATTTCATAGACTTTCCTTATATCATCAAATGTAATACATTTATTTTCATATAGGAAGTTGCCATTCAAAAGATTATTCCTAAAATTCTTTATGAGGTGCAATGTGTCAAACAATGCAATTATTTTTTGTTGGTGTGTTTCATGTTCAATTATAAAGTAGGGATTTTCCTTCGATACTCCAAGCATTCTGAAACATTTTTGGTTGGATGATCCCTGGTCACACACAACTGCTTTTGGTACCAGACCACTTGAAAGGCATTTTTGAATCAAGGTGCATAACATGATCTTCAACTTCTCTCCAGGAACTCCAGAAGGAGAAAAAAAATATGCAAGTGGTAGTTTCCAGGAGCTCAACATACCCCTCGCCATGAAAACCAACACATATTTTGCCTTCTTGTTGGTGCGTCCCATATCTCCCAAGTCCTCATACCCCTCTATAAAATCCATAGTTGGTGAATACTCCAAGTATTGTTTAATACACATTTCATCAAATGAAATAATGCATTTCCTTTCATCAGCAGTCATACTTTCAGTTTTTAAATGAATCTGTTGGAAGAATTTACTACTGAAGCCTGTCAAGAACTTTGACTGTCCAATCCATTTTCTCACACTACTAACACTTGGGAGAATTATTTTCCGCCTCAAATATTTATAGGCACTGGGTGACTTGTAAAAGAGTAAAATTGAAAACTTTCTTTCGTCAGCTTGCCATGTCCTCTTTTTTTGTTTCAACTGCATTTTTATCACTGTTCTAGACCATTTCATTAAGAAATTATGCTTCTGAATTGATAGATCTAATGGCATAATATTCTTAATTTTCTTGATAGTTTTCTTCAACTTCAAAATATGAGAACGCTCGTTGGAAATAACCTGTGATTTTTTCTTCAATTTTGATTTTAAGTTGACTATTTGTTCACTTTGTTCATGCATTACTTCTCTATAATTTGAAACTTTCTCTTCAATGCGAGCCCTTTTTGATGGTGATGGTGAAGGCATATCTATCAGGTGTTCAATCCAACTGCCTGAAGAAGATGCTCGAGAAGATGCTGAAGAATCTATATTATCAGATTGAGAAGCTTTTCTTTTGGTAGATTTCTTGTAAGATTTCAAAGCAACTTTCGTTTCTGACAAGGTCTGGTCAGTGTGAGGGTCAGTAGGTCTAGTAGAAGGGGTTTGACATTTTTGGTCCACTGTCAAGAACATTTTGTAGTCTTTGGGTACAGCAGAAGATTTCAACCGATTTTTGATAATCGGATTGATAAAATCCTCATCATTGAAGTGATATTCACAGATTTGGCGTTTTTTGAGCATGTCAAATTCCAATCTCTCCAAAGTAATATTTCCTGTAAAAATATATATATATATATTTATATATATATATATATGTGTTCTTGGAAATATTAGTGGGATGCAGTCTGGACCAATGAATTAATTAAATTTCTTCCTTATTTGTCTAGCTTTCGAAAATTTTTATTTTCCCTATCAAGACTAAAAACATGAAATTCTATATAGAATCAGCACAAAAAGGAAACATAGGTGCTAATTTTATATAGAATTTAATGTTTTTAGTCTTGATAAAGAAAATAAAAATGTCTGAAAGCTCCACAAATAACGAAGAAATTTAATTAATTCATTTGTCCAGACTGCATCCCACTAATATTTCCAAGAATATCATTATAGAACAGTCACCAAAGCTTCCCCTTGTTATATATATATATATATGTGTGTATATAAATATGACTAATTGTAATTGGAGAAGCTGAATTTACATCATAACCAAGATCATAATTTCATTTTCTATCTTGAGGACAGAAATTAATCATCTAGGTACTCAAGTATTAAGTATTTCATGGTAATTTTGCAATTATCATGCCATGGGTTTTTTTCGGAATTTTTTTTGTGGTACTCACGTATTTTTGTCTGAAAAACACGAATTTGATAATGAAAATGTGAACAAACCATTATTTATCAAGATATTTCACTATAAAGTTACAAATTTCACCTCCTTTTCCGCCTGTCTTTGGATGGCATTTAGAACAATTTGCCCTTCTCTTTCTATCATTGGACAATTTATATATATCACACAATGTTAGACACATTTTTTTTATTATATGAGTCAACTAGAAATATGATTTTCTTGTCAATTTATCCATGTTTAGTGAAAATAAGGAAGAATATCATTTGAAATAATGGCATGTGTAATGTCATTCCAAAGCAATCTATTGACATTTGACATCTGGTATTTGGATTTCCTATGGATTAAATGGCCCTCTCTGATATGCTTGCTCACTAAATAGGAAAAACTTGCCATAAAAATCATATTATTTCCTGTTGAATTCTCTAGCTTGAAATGTGTCATTGAAGTACATCATGAGTACATAAAGTGTCCAATGACAAAATAAAAAGAGCAAGTACCTGTAAATGCATCCAACACAAGGGGGAAATAAGGCAAAATTTCGAACTTTTTCTTGAAATAGGTATCTGGATGAATAGTGGTTTGTTCACATTTTCAATATCAATTTCGTGTTTTTCAGACAAAAATAAGTAAGTAGGTACAAAAAAAAATTCCGAAAAAAAAACCATCGCATAATAAGTGCATAATTACCGAAAATTACCAATTTTCCTAATTATTTTATTGATAAAAATAATAGCACCTAATTTTTACATTTTTACCTGACTTAATGATCCATTGTTCAGCTCTTCCCGAGTCCTTCGGAAAATAGAACATTTCAAGTTTAGGCACTAGTCTTCGTGTCCTATCACAGTTTATGTATGCACAAATATTTCCAGCCATAGCTAGTTCAGATATCAGTAACTGAATTCTTTAACTGAAAATCACACACCAGCACTATAAAAACAACAGAACAACACAACAGAGGAGAATCTAGAAATACTACAGTAGGTATATTTTCTTCAATGAAGAATAAACACAATATGGATGGCACAATCAATCGAGATTCAAAGACAACACGCAGAAACAAGAGGGTCGAAAGAAGCAGCGAAACTCGAATATACATAACCACAAAATCGGCAGAAAACGTTGCTGCGATTGATCCGAAGATGATCGGACATCGTCGGACTCAGAGATGGCTGCGAATCCCCGGCTAAGTTCACTCCATGGAATTCTAGCAACTAGAGACATCTATATTTGAATTCCAAAAGCTACTTGGAATGTATGGCCAAATTTTATACAGGAAAGATGTATCTTGGTGGGTGACTGATCTCTGGTTGATACCAACGGTCGCAAGCGGCTACGGAGGGGTAAGCATTGTATTGAGCATACATTGAAGTAAGCTCAACTAACTGAGGGAGTAAGATCTCCCGAGAGTTGTGGGTGCAGTTGAGTTCGAAAACTCCAACTGGAGGGAATGCTTGAGTCAAAGTGGCGTGAGGGTTTTCGCGAGCTGTACCGTTCCTTGTTGAGTATACGGTTGTAATTAAGTGGGTCTGGGGTCCAGAGGGTGAACAGTCGCCTAAGTTTAGTTATCCGTCGAAGTAAGAACAGTAGATGGTCATAATTTCAATGATATGAACGAACCAATGTGGATTGTTTAACTGGGTGAATTCAGATATGTTCTGAGTTCTAGTATTAGCAGCAATCGTTGGGATATTGAGTCGTCTTCCATATTTCCGAAATTTTTTGTCGAGGTCATGGTCTGTTTCTATTTCAAATAGGAGTCCAGGTCTTAGAAAGGTGTTACGTTCTGTATCGTTCCAAACAGCACCAAATTGATGTCCGTTAATAGTGAAAGGATGAGTATTAGAGTGGGTAGCGCGATCGGCAAAGTCATTTACGGCGTCTTCATTTGCAGAGTTGCATATTTCATTGATAAATTCAATAATCTGAGGGATTCCAGGAAGCATCAGTTCGAATGAGTTAGCGTTGTGGCCAATAAGTATGTCAGAGTCAGCAATAGGTCCAATTTCATCTGGAAGGGAAGGGGTTATGAAGCCGTACAACTGATTAGTTGGTATAGATACAGCCATTGCCTTAAAGATAGGAACTAATGGGCCGGGGATGACAAGACTTTCACGTGGATAGATTTCGAGAATCTCTTTCATGAATCGAGTCTGATTCCTTGAAGCTACATTTGCATAATTCATCTGACGTAGAGTCTGAAGAATAAGAAGGATGCCAAAATACAGTCTTGATATTAATGGGTGCCAAGAGTCACAACTTCTTTTGAAGTAGAAATTTTGACGCATAAGGTCATCGAATAAATGGACGATATAATACATCTTAGTGGGAGAAGGGATGAAAGTTGATTGGGTTGGGAAATCATGTGTTTCAAGTGGTATACGAAGATAGGGGATCAGCATTTCATTCTGGTCGTCACTATCTGGTTTCTTGTGTACCAAATTTGGTCGGTAACTGTTGGCCACTTCCATTTTCTATTGGAGGTTTGTTCCATAACACTTACTTCATATTGCTCTCGTTCAACTATTTTGATGATTCCTAGATAGAGCTCATCATCATAATTCACAATCACGTAGTCTCCTACTCCCAAAATTAGATTTGGAGATGTAGACTTGCTCCTAGTGATTTTTTCAAATTTCTCCCTTACTGTTGTTGCATAGTATTCAAAACTATCTGAACTATAGTTGTCTTCCTCGAACCCCTTGATAGTTTTTCTTGATTTGTTCCCAGCACTATTTCTTTGTTTCACTTTCACTTCAGTCAGATCAATATTTGGAATTCTATAACCGTTCTCTTTCTCATCTTCATCTCTTTTGGCTCTTATCCTCTCATCTTCGTCTGTTTCCTCTCGCTTTCTTCTAATTTTTTTTTCTTCTCGGCTTGAGAACTCTTCTCTTTTCAGTTTTCTGATCCTTATTGCTTTTTCTTTTTATCGTTTTACATTGTCTTGTTGATCGTAATAATTCAACTATTCCTCCGAAATAATTGCATTCTCTTCCAGATTTCCTCGTATAAACCTCATGAAGAGTTACAGTATTGATACATTTCATAAATTTCGACCATGACCGACACTTTATTTCTTTTTCGGAACATAGCGATTTTCATCACGTTTATACATATCCTTCTCCATCCCGGGACAAGCTGGACATACTTTTTATCGCACCTTGTATATCCATCGTCAAGAATAAATATGAATTTCATACTTCTGGAACTACAATCATAATTTCTTGAATTTCATAATTTATCTTAACGAAAATGCATCATTTCGATTGAAAATGCGTACTTTCATTATATGACCTTTGATCCAAGAAATTACAAAACCATTTCGAGGTCAGACACCAGACATCCTCATGACGAAGTTACACTCCATTATTCCACTAGTAACACAGAGAAAATTATGATTCATCTACTGGAGACTACGTCATTCTCCATTCCATCATTAATATAACGTTGATTCTTCGGAGAAGAATTCCAACTTTTAATTCCATTCAATTAATCGTCGAAAAAATGCATCATTCTGAATAAATATTCATAACACGATTATCAAAGCTCTAAATTTGAGAATTCCGAAAATATTTCGAGAGAAAACATCAATCAAGACGATACAGGTGAGAAAAAAAATTAAAAAAATTATTTGTTCAAACGGTAAGGTGACGACCACGATGCAATTTTACACCCATTCAATTATCACCCTGTAGCAATGTTATCTGAAATTACAGAAGTTTCATATTGCCACAACAAACTGTCAAAGAGATTTGGCTAATCATCGGTGAAAACCGATTTTTAATTGGTGGGGAAATTCGTGAGTTATTCTACTTTGAATTCATGCTATATTTTGGAGCACGACGTAATCAATGTTGACCAGTTCAGTTATAGCTGCACTAGTTCTTCGTTTATGTGCTTGGTATGCTTTTTTCCATTCAACCTTCAAAGGCTTGAAGATAGTGACATCGCACGGTTGCAAAATATTTTTTTTCCAGTGCGTGCGCATCGACTGCGCGTCGACAGAACTTGTTGTTCTGTGGCCGAACGTCAACTGAAGCGTAATATACGAGGCGCAATCTTAGTCCACAAACATACGAGAATGTTGTTTTCATTTTATTTCCCACGAGAAAACAATCATGAAAAAATATTGAAAAGTGCGAACAGTTGCTATGGTCTGCAGCCCTACTTTTATGAAAAATAGGTGCATTTGCGAACGGCAGCTCTTCGTCAGTAGGCACTATGGGTTCGAGTTATCAAAATGAGTTAAAATAGCAAAATTTCAGTTATCTAGCAATCATAAGGTTAAACAAAAAAGATGGGGCGCCACTGCAACTTTTAATTCAAAAGAAAAGTTACCTGGAAAGTTGAGCAACCAGATAATGAATAATATTAGTTGTTATCCCAGACTGAAAGACCTGAATTTACCTTATAGAGATGTTGTGAGTTGGAGTGTCATGTCAATAAACAAATAAAACAGTCATATACAATACCCAAAACATTTAATTTTGATGATAGGACTCATATATCATATCACATGGTTTTGACAAATATGCATAAATCAAAAGAATATTAGATAACTTATTTCCTGTTAAGAAATTACACTGTTGCCTGCTATTATGTGGATGAAAATATATATAAATCAACTTTATATTGTACTTGAAAACTCAAGAGGTCCTGTAAGGACGTTTTATAGTCATTGCAGATTTAAAAAATATTGAAAATGAAAGAATTCTACCAGCGCATAGTATACTATGTGGAGGGGAAGTATATGTACCTTTCATGTGTGATTTCATCAATTTTCGACCTAGCTATGATTTAAAAATGGTCCATTATACACACTAGCAATAGGCATTATGAGTGAATAAAAATGAAAAATAAAAATATATTTTTATGTCAAAAACCTGTATGGTGTGTCCTACACCAGTTATCCTTGATAAAAATGGCTTCAGTGCCACCAAATGAAGCTTCTGAGGGGAAGATTGGCGGAGAGCGGGGTGCTGACTTCACATCCATGGATGTCAGATGACATTGACAGAGTTGTCGTATTCCCACCTTGAAAATCCATCATATCAGGAACAAACAGGGGACGATATCCAGATTCCAGATTACCTTACAGCCACTGAAAGCCTTGTAGAATTAACAGATCCTGGTCGAGCAATGACTCCTGGGAAGAATAGTGCTGCTGGTAGGATAACTCCCGTTGTAGAACTCCCGGTAGAAAAACTCCCGGTAGAAAACTCCCGGTGAAAAAACCCTTAAATATTTCATGAAAATGAGGTTCTGAATTTCTGGACTGCAGAAAGAAAAATCGTGGAAATAGAGCGAGACTCACCTTCTATGAAGGGTTGGGGATTGAAATGGCCGTAATGACGATGCAGGTAGGCACGTGGCTGCCTTGGTGATGAACCATGAAGATCCTGCCTCTTAAACCAAAACCAGAAAAATCTGTAGAGTCCAGCAGTCCTTGTAGATCAGCAGCAAATCCAGGATATCCTGATGTGATCCAGAACGCCAGGCGGTACAGGACTTCAGAAGCCGGTTCACACCACAAAAATGGCACTTGACCACCACGAAGAATTTTTCTGAAGTGAGCTCTTGTCTCACGACCAGAAAGGAAATCCCTTCTCCAAATTTCCAGAAACTTCGAGAACAACTTAACAGTTTCCGCTTTTCAAATTGGCGGAAAATTTGAATATCCAAAATAAAAGACGTTATCGCTACTCCCTCCAGAGACTTGATTCTTCCCAGATGTCTATCTGAACCAATCAGAATTGATGACTAAAATGACGTCACACCTTTCTTCACAAATACTCGTCTTGTTGGTTCGACGATGATGATCTAAGGACATATCAATCCGAATCGGCGTTTGGCGCATGACAAGTTTGACACTGTTGACATGGTGTCATGACCGACAGCTAATTGACGTAAAGCGAAATAACAGATCAACAAAATCAAAACATCAACCTGAATTTATCAAATGCATCAATCAAGAAAATAATGCCAAACGAAGTTAATTGATTCACCATGGTCGATTCCTAGTGAAACCATCCGCATCAGCGTTCCTGGAAAATCCAATACCTATTGTCCTATACTGTGATGAAGTTTCAAGTGGAAATAGCAGTGTGAAAAGTGAGTATGACAATGTCTCTGGAATGGTATTCCATATCACTTTATATTATTTATCTCTTTCAGGTAAGTTCCTGTAAAAACCATCTGAATCATCCTTCTACTTGGATCACATCAAAGCAGATATAGCAAGAGATATCAATGTATTTATAGAAATTGTATTTTTATTATATGTACAGTGTGAAATATCAGGTGTGTATCCACATATCAGGTTTGAGAATAATTAAATAATATGAAGCAGATTGAATTCACTTTATGTTATTATTATTTAGTAAGACAAAGAGAGTATCAGCTCACATAGGGCTTTACCTATTGGGAACTCTAGATCATGATCTAGAGTTCCCAATAGGAAAAACCCTATGTGAGTTGGAATTCTACTTTTTCACAAAATGCTAACATGTAATAAACCCCTATGTGAGTTCGTAACCTAAAGAGAGAACTGAATCACATAGGCGTTTCAGTACTTGTACTTGATTTAGAAATCGAAGTACTGAAAACCCTATGTGAGTTGGAATTCTACTTTTTCCCAAAACGCTAACATGTGAACCCGTATGTGAGTTGGTAACCTGAAGAGAGTGACAGATCACATAGGGCGTTACTTCAACTCATGATCTAGAGTTCCCAATAGGTAAAACCCTATGTGAGTTGGAATTCTACTTTTTCAATAGATGAAGTTCTATGTGATTTGATCATGATCTAGAGTTCCCAATAGGTAAAACCCTATGTGAGTTGGAATTCTACTTTTTCACAAAATGCTAACATGTAATAAACCCCTATGTGAGTTCGTAACCTGAAGAGAGAACTAAATCACATAGGCGTTTCAGTACTTGTACTTGATTTAGAAATCGAAGTACTGAAAACCCTATGTGAGTTGGAATTCTACTTTTTCCCAAAACGCTAACATGTGAACCCGTATGTGAGTTGGTAACCTGAAGAGAGTGACAGATCACATAGGGCGTTACTTCAACTCATGATCTAGAGTTCCCAATAGGTAAAACCCTATGTGAGTTGGAATTCTACTTTTTCAATAGATGAAGTTCTATGTGATTTCGTAATGTGAATATTGTCTGATTTTTAATGAATTGCGAGAAGGTCTTAACGGTGTCGAAGGATCACCCTGTGATTCCGGATCGCCCTGTACACGGCGATTCTGGTCGCGCAAATCAGCATTATAATGATGCGCCATTAACTCCGATATTACTGCAATCTATAAAAATGTGCACTTATTGCACAAACAGAGAAATAGACCTAATAAGACTGATAAGAAATTTCTGGAAAAACAAATTAGCGATATAATGATTTGCGTCAGTAATATTGCTGAATAATCATAATTCATTTTAATGAGGGTCCGAAAAGGTATAAAAGAAATAGAAGGTAATGTGGAAAGCATTGCATTGTGAAAGTTCTTCTTAAACTTGTGAAAACCAACATAAAACATTCTCAAGGTGGGTAAGTAATGTTATGTTACATAATATTGTCTCATCAGTGTGTATGATTCGGTTCAACTTTTGAAGATGATTTGAATATTTCTACACTATTTCCATCTTCATTGCAGATGGATCTCGAAGCAATCAATAAGGAAGGATCTTTGGCTAGAAAAGAAAGCATCAAGTTGTCTGATCTGCATGCTGATACACCGTATCCTATAAGTTCACTACGTGTCGTCAAGACCCGATTTGGTAATAGCATTCTCGTCGAGCTGGACAACAACGTTGTGTTTCTACCCAACAGAGTAACACATTTACTGAAGGGACAAGAAGCAAAATTTGTTCCAGGCAAGTATTCCCTGGTATACAAAGGACTTAAAGACGTAG